CCCCACACAGCAGCTCTCAGTGGGGAGGAGAGCAGAGGGATGAAGCCAGTTCAGAGAGGGGGGTTATTAGGAGGCCATGATTGGTAAGGACCAATGGAAAATTTGGCCAGGACACTGGGGTAACACCCCTACTCTTTTCGAGAGACGCCCTGGGATTGTTAATGACAACAGACCACAGGACTAAATCCTTTTGAAGTTGTCTAGCCAGCAGCCAGATCACCCTGCAGCTCACAGCTGGCAGCCCCCACTGAAGCTCAGCAGGAGTGAGCCTGGTCAGTACCTGGAGGGGAGACTCCTGGGAAAAACTAAGGTTGCTGCTGGAAGAGGTGTGAGTGGGGCCAGCAGGGGGCGCTCACCCTGCGGTCTGTGTGGGTCCTAATACCCCAGTATAGTGACAGGGGACACTATACTGGAAACAGGCGCCATCCTTCGGATGAGACGTCAAACCGAGGTCCTGACTCTCTGTGGTCATTAAAAATCCCAAGGTGTTTCTGGAGAAGAGTAGGGGTGTAACCCCAGTGTCCTGGCCTGATTTCCCATTGTTCTCCTTCCCTCAGTAAGGTCTTTATTCATATTGCAATGTGGGGGAAAAAGCCATCACCCGTCTGTGCAGAGAAGTGAAAGCCGATTCAGAAGCAAGCAGGGAGAGCACCTTGTTTTAGATCTCTTTTTTTAAGCTGACGCAACACTTCAAAGACAGGCAAAGCAGTAATTTTCTATTCCTGATAGGTGTTTGCTTAAACAAAGAAGAGCAGTTAATAAAATAGTTTCCCACACTCCCTTCTTCAAGCAGCAGAGAGAAACTTTATTTGAAAACCCCGTGCCCTCAACGAGCTGGGGTGCTCTCACACTGTGTTCTAAGTATCTAAGAGCACAGCTCTGTCCGTAAACAACATCTTTAGGATAAAACGCTTTTTCTCGGTAACTTTCCATTACACGAGCATGACAGCCGTGCTCCTGTATCCCATGACAGAGAAACAGACATCCCACTAGTAGTGCAGTTAAGTTTTAATTTATTTTGCTCAGTGGACTAGGACAGGCTTGGGGGGGGGCTACTCTAGGTAAACAGATCTCTCAAAGGACTGTTTATCTTCCCCAGGACAGGTCGTCTTCATCCTGCATGTGCTTTCTGCAGTTTCCCTTTAAACGACCTGTATCCTTTTACACTCATTGCGAAACCGGAGATCTTATTTAGTTTCCGAGATTCATCCGATTTCTGTGGAATACACCCCCTGTGAACTGCTCCCACCTTAGCGTGCACGTTTCTCTCCATCGGTTGGCGGAGTTGAACCACTTCTGCAACTTTCAGAGTGGCGTTATCACCCAGTCACGATTCTGAATCTACAGCACGTTAGCAATATCTGGTTTCAAGCCGTTAAATAAATGTGCTTAATTACCAATGAGGACTCACCCCTTTAATGAAACTTAAAGCTAAGCACAATAAAGTTCACCACTGCAGGTCTGTGCTCTCCCCATATATTTCAACTTTGTTTGAATGAATTTGATACAAATAACATGTTGAGATAACCCATTTAGGTCCACCTGTACTGTGCTGGTATTTGTACTTCTATGTTTTAGATGCTCTATCATTTTCTAGTCACTTAAGTTGCTGTTTGATTTCCTTTAGTTAAGTCTCCCGCCAGTCCGGCTGGCTAGACACACTCGCATCGTCAGTTACTGCACCAAAACTTCACAGTTACGCACTGAGGTCTTACACACACCCACGCTGTGTAGGAAGATGCCGGCACGCAAGTTCATAAGACACACATACACATCAAGACTATTCTTTTCGTATCACGTCCTTAAGGTCTTAGATTAGGTCTTAGATCTTTATGATCTGCTACCATCTGGAAAACGGTACCGGAGCATTCGGGCCCGAACTACCAGACTCAGAGACAGTTTTTACCCCTGCACTATCAAACTGTTAAATTCCCAGCCTCTCTCACTCTCACTCTCGCCTCACCTCTCACCTATGATCTGAACCTCACAGTGCCTTCTTCCTTTCTTACCAAAAACCCAAACACACTTTGAAAATCTACCTCTACCTTACATGTCAAAAGCTCACTCCCCATAATTTCTATCCTTTTATTTCATTCTGTTGATGCATATTTTATGCACATAACCTGTTACCTTTTTGTTGTTTTGCACACTGCCTGTCGTTGGTTGTTTTGCACGCTGCCTGTTGTTGGTTGTTTTTGCACACTGCCTGTTGTCTCCGTCTTTCTTTTGCTACACAATTGTATTGTTGTTGTTGTTTTTCCTCTTTGTACTACTTATGTCCGAGAGCTAGCTAAATAGCATTTCGTTATACCATATACCATGTATTTGAGTGTAATGACAATAAACTTGAAACCTGAAAGATTAGGTTTTAGATGTCGGGAACATTTTAATTATAATTTAGTATAATGGACGCGTTATATTTTGTTTGGCCCGTCCATCCATCTCTTCTAACAGCATAACTTTGCATAAACACAGCATCACTTATTCCAATACAGGTAGAAGTCCGTTTATCCCAACACCTCTGGTCAGGCACTTGTCCTGCTCAGTCCTGCTCAGGCCAAACACCATGTGATCATCCAGATTTCTGTTTTCAGCTTCTCCGCACACACACTGAGTACTATTCACACACCTTTCCACACGCTGCAACGTCCCACCCACTCACCCACCCTCTGGCAGATTTTTTCCTCAATTTCTCTTCCGTTTCCTTCAACCTCCTCTCCTTACTCACAGTCTGATAGCCGTGCTATCGTCTCATCACACCACTTTTGATCTATTCTGGGAACAACAACGGAACGCCAACGAAACAAGGAAACAACAATGAGACAATAAGACACCGAAGTGCATCTCTTTCAGCTGCCTACAGAATATGGCAATATTTTATAATACGTCTTTGTTGTAAATGTCTGGAATATGTCTGTAGATTTTATATTATTGTTATTTTTTGTTTTGTTTCATGTGAATTTCATTATTTCACTTGCTTTGGCAACACTGATTGTACCCATCGGTCATGATAACAAAGCACCTTGAATTGAATTGAATATTACTCTCTCTTCAACAGTGACTGCAGATGGATAAATATCAATTATAAATATCAATTATCAAGCAGGACTCTCAAACCCTTGGACTGTACATTATCAGTAGATACAGTAG